GAGAGGGGACAAAGGGAGGGGACACTGAGAGGGGACACAAGGAGGGGACACTGAGAGGGGACACAAGGAGGGGACACTGAGAGGGGACACTGAGAGGGGACACGGGGAGGGAACACGGGGAGGGGACACTGAGAGGGGACACAGCAGTGACACCACTCAAGGTTTGGGTGCCTTGAGGTTGAGTTTGTCCCGGATCCAGATCCTCCCGCACTGGAAGAACCCCTGGAAACGTTCCTTGACCTTGCCAAAGAAATCCTTGATCTTGGATTTCCAGCTCTGGCCAAACTGGGAAAACAAAGAGCGGTGTCAGATTTTGGGGGGGTGAGGAGGGGACTTGGGGGACCCCCCATGGCCGGGGGGACACGGAGCCGTTCCGGAACCTTCTTACCACGGCCGGGGCCTTCTTGCAGGAGAGCTCCACCGTGGGCTGCTGCCCCTCCAGGAAAACGGAGCCCTGGCACCAGGTCAGCCCCTGTGGGGCACAGAGGGGACACAGCAGAGCCCAACCCCCTCGTGCCTCAGTTTCCCCACTGGATAATCCCCAGTTCCCACAGGATGAAGCCTCACCCCGAGCCAGCGGCTCTTGCAGTGGCTGGTGGCCATTCCCGGTGCCCGGCACGTGGTTTCCTCCAGGGTGAAGCTCAGCTCCTGCCGGCTCTGCAGGTCTGAGGGCTGGGAAAAGGGAAAAGATCCATCAGGGATCCATCAGGGATCCATCAGGGATCCATCAGGGATCCACAATGGGCCAGAGGAGCCCCAAGAGGAGCCACATCCAGCCTGGAAAGGGTCAGGCTCAGCCCCAACTCAGCTGTGCTCAATCCCTCAGGGGTCAGACCCAAAACAGGACACATCCACCCTGGGAAGGGCCAGATCCGGCACTGCCTGGTCCTGGAGCTTCTCCTGGAAAGAGAGAGCTCAGCACTCACCCATCCAGGCCGGGGCTGAGCCTCCCGGAGCCGCAGCACGTAGGGACTGATGGCCCTGGCGTTGAGCAGCTCCACGGCCGCTGCCACCACGGCCCCGTAGCTCAGGGACGAGGACGGCGCGGTTCCTTCCCATCCCAGCGTGGTTCCATCCCGTCCCGCCGTGGATCCCTGGGGCTCCGGCGTGGAGGCTCCCACCAGCCCCAGGAGCAGCAGCAGCGGTGGCAGCGCTCGGCACGGCCCCATCCCAGCTCCTGGATCCTGGATCCTGCTTCCCACCGCGCTGGGAGCGCTTTTATGGGAGCTGCCATGGGCGTACCAGGGGGCTGGGACAGCGGGACGTTCCAGGTGGGACGAATCTGGCCAGGAGCCCAGTCCAGCCCCAGGTCAATGGGGATGGGTGCATTGGGCACCTTTGGTCAGCAGCAGAGAGGGTTTGGGGTCCTGCTGCCATGGGGGTCCCCAGGGGAGGGAATGTGTGACCAGGAGGTGACAGCAGGGACAGACACGGCGGTGCGAGGTCCAGAGCGTGGTGGTATGAAAGGTCTGAGCCAGGGGAGGCTCAGGTTCTGCTCCCAGGGAACAGGGACAGGACAAGAGGAAACAACTCCCAGCTGGGCCAGGGGAGGCTCAGCTGGAAATTCAGAATATTCCTTCCCCAAAAAGCCTCTCCAGGCCAGGCCCAGCTCAGGGTTCAGCCCCCACTGCTGGAGGGATTTAAAATCCCTGTGGATGTGGCACTTGGGGACACGGTCAGGGGTGGCCTCGGCAGTGCTGAGGATTGAACTTGATGGTCTCGAGGACTTTTCCCCTCAGCAAATCCTCAATTCTCAGAAGATGGACGGGGTTTTCCAACCCAGGGGTGATTTATGGCCTGTCCCTCTCTGCAAACAGGGTGGGTCCCACCAAGCAGCCAAGGTGGGAGCAGGAAGCTCCAGGAGGACACCCAGGATCCTGCCCCAAGGGTGACCCTCGCTTCAGGCCCCTCTGGAGCTGCCCAGCAGGTTTGGAGCTGGGATCATGGAAAACATCTTCATAAATCACACAAAGACACCTGGAAATCCCCAGGGAGGGACATGTGAAAAACGAGGTTCACGTATTTTTTATAGAATTTTTATAAAATTTAATTTTTTTTATAAGAATTTAAAAGTTTAATAAAAAGACAATTAGGAGATAAAAATAAAGATAAAAATAAAGTAAAATATACAGATACAGTCGGGTGTCTCTGCATTCACCTCACTGACAAAGAATTGTCCCTTAAAAACAGAACCCTACTACATATCCATAAATTCTCATACATATTCAGACATTCTCTTTAGGATTTTTGGGGTTCTTCTGTTTAGTTTTTCCTTGTCCCCTTCCCAATAGATCAATCTTCTTGGTGTCATTGAGATTTACACTCCCTGATACCAGAAATGTAATAAATTCCTTCCCCAGAACTCTGGTCAGGCTCATCTGGATAAGAGAGTTTACAAATGCAGTAGTTCTCTAGTTATTTTTATTTTTGTTTTTCAGTCTTTGGGTTATACAAACAAAAGCAGTTTTTATTTTAATATTATGCTTAACATATATGTATTATACCACTATTTCTAAGTTTCATCAATAACAAAAATAAAGAAAACTATATTAATACAACAAAATTTTCCAATCTTATACACATAACATTCATTTTAATATTTGCAAAAAGCTAACAATATAATATGTTCCTTCCAAACTGTCCTCCATTCCTAAAAAATCCCTTTAAATGTTTTCCATATTCTTCCCTATTCTATCCCAGCTTACCTCAATTTCAATTCCTTCCCAAAATTTCTCCCAACTCCTTCCAAACTCCTCAGTTATTCCCATTTTCCCCATGTATCCCACCTAGGATTTAACAGCAAGAGAAAGAGTTTCAAAATAGATGTAATATATTTAAATTGCATTTTTAGGTGCCTCTGCCAGCTCTGAACGGCTCCAAAAAGCCACAAAATCCTTGAAGGCCATTTTGGGAATAAAAAAGGGAAAATTCAGCGTGTTTTCCTTGGGAAGTTGTGATTCCCAGGATATCTCCCACCTCTTACAGGAAGTTAACCTCCCCCAAAACCAACCCCTGAGCCCTGGGCTGGGGAAATTCCCCGCTCGTAAATCTGACTCTGGGTTTATTTGCCCTTCCCAGGATTGTGCTGTCCCTCCTCATTCCGGAACAGCCACGGGTTTGTCTTGGAGCTGTTCCCACAGCCAGACCTGATCTGACCTGGGCAGGGGAAGGTTCCCAGTCCCCGTCAGGGGCTGTGACTGGATGGGCTTTAATAATTCTGGGATTCTGGGATAATGAAGGGAGGGCACAGCTGGTCCATGATGGAATCATCCTGGAGTGGTTTGGGTTGGAATGGAGCATAAATCCCATTCCACACCATGGCCAGGGACACCTCCCACTGTCCCAGGCTGCTCCAAACCTGATCCCAGCCCGGCCTTGGGCACTGCCAGGGATCCAGGGACAGCCACAGCTGCTCTGGGAATTCCATCCCAGCCAGGAATTCCTTCCCAATATCCCAAAATCCAACCAGTGGGAGCTATTCCCTGGGTCCTGTCCCTCCATCCCTTGTCCCCAGTCCCTCTCCAGCTCTCCTGGAGCCCCTTCAGGCCCTGCAAGGGGCTCTGAGCTCTCCCTGGAGCTTCTCCTCTCCAGGGGAACATTCCCAGCTCTCCCAGCCTGGCTCCAGCCCTGGAGCAGCTCCGGGGCCTCCTCTGGATTCGCTCCAGCGTTTCGGTGTCCCTGCCCGTTCCCAGCCCTTTCCCTGCCCTTTCCCTGCCCGTTCCCAGCCCTTTCCCTGCCCGTTCCCTGCCCGTTCCCTCCGTGTTCCCGTTTCCCGCTCCGGACCCCGGCGCGTCTCTGGTTTCCACGGCAACGGCACCGCCATGGTCTCCATGGCAACCGCGCACCAAGGGGGCGTGGCCGCGTCTGTCAGCACGCGCGCTTCCGCCTTAGGCCACTCCCCCATCGCATCCTCGCGCCTTAACCCGGAAGTGGCGCGTTCCCGCGCTCACTGGGCGGCGCCATGTTGGGAGGCCGTGCAGCAGCCGAGCGGCGCGGCGAGCGCCGTGATTGGTGGAGCGCTGCACGTGACTCACAGATCGCACTGGGATTGGACGGCAGTGCCGCCGCTTCCGCGCGCGGTGCTGTTGGGGTCGTGAGGGGAAGCCGGGAATGGGGGAAGGTGACGGGAGCCCCCGGCCTCAAAGCGCCCCGCCTGGAGCCGGGACAAAGCGCTCCCGAGATATTCAAACTGTTTTATTTGCTTTCAAGTCCAGTTTCACCGTCCACCCGGCACTGACGGGCGGGAATGTCCTTACAGGAATTGCGGAATCAGGGAATTGGTGAGGTTGGAAAAGCCCTCAGAGATGCCCGAGTCCAAGCCCAACACTGACTGTGTCCCCAAGCGCCACATCCAAAGGGCTTTGAAATCCCTCCGGTAATGGAGACTCCACCCCTGCCCTGGGCAGCTGGGCCAGGCCTGGAGAGCCCTTTCCAGGGGGAATATTCCCAATATCCCACCCAAACCTCCCCTTGAGGCCCTTCCCTCTTGTCCTGTCAGCAGAACCCGACCCCTCCTGGCTCCAACCTTCTCCCAGGGAATTGCAGGGAGCCAGGAGGTGCCCCCTGAGCCGCCTCTGCTCCAGGATGAGCCCCTCCAGCTCCCTCCAGATGGTTTGGGAAGCTGAAAACCCCAAATTCAATGCCCGATGCTCCAGCATCCTGGGGAACCTCCCGCTGCCAAAACCAGCACCAGCCATGGCGGGAGCAGCCCTTGTTACAGACACATTTTATATTGTTGGCTTTTCCAAATATTGGAATGAATGTTATGTGTATAAGATTAGAAAATTTTGTTGTATTAATATAGTTTCCTTTATTTTTGTTATTGATGAAACTTAGAAATAGTGGTATAATACATATATGTTAGGCTATGGCATGGTATTAAAATAAAAACTGCTTTTGTTTGTATAACCCAAAGACTGAAAAAAAATATAGCTAAAGAACTCCTGCATTTATAAACTCTTATCCAGATGAAGACAGCCTGACCAGAGTTCTGGGAGAGGAATTTATTGCATTTCTGGTATCAGGGAATGTAAATCTCAATGGCACCAAGAAGATTGATCTATTGGGAAGGGGACAAGAGAAAAGTAAACAGAAGAACCCCAAAAATCCTAAATAGAATGTCTGAATATGTATGAGAATTTATGGATATGTAGCAAGGTTCTGTTTTTAAGGGACAATTCTTTGTTAGTAAGGTGAATGCAGAGACACCCAGCCAGATCTGTATATTTTACTTTATTTTTTTATCTCCTAATTGTCTTTTTTATTAAACTTTTAAATCCTATAAAAATTATGTGAACCTCGTTTTTCACAGCTCCCATTTGGGCATCCCAGATTTTCCATGGAAAACTGGGAAAGGGAACGAACCCGCGGTGCTCGGTTTGCTGGAATTTGCTGGAGCTTCCCTCTGTTCCTATAACAGCACCTGGCCCCTGGAAGGGCCCTGAAGAACATCCCAGAAATCACCTTTTCCTTGTAATGATCCAATTCCAGAGGCTGAAAAAGCTGCTGGGAATTCAGGCCAGGCTGGATTCCCCAAGAAAACACTTCCAGAGGACTGGAACTGAACCTTTGTCCTTCCTTATACCCACCCCTCCATCCAGCCCTCCCCTGGCACAACTTGAGGCTGTTCCCTCATCCTGTGCCTGTTCCCTGGGAGTGTTGACAAATATACAAAATTTAAATTTTCTTTATTTCATTTCTCAAGTTGGCCTCAGTTTGTCCTAGCCTCGGGGAAGGGAATTAGTGGAGTTTTATTTTGAGGGCATTGTTCCACTCTGTGAGGTTTGTTAACGTCTCGACAGACTGGGAATAGCCCAAAAAACACTGAAAAAATTAATGAGCATCAACAAACATCAGCGAACATCTAACCCCAGAGATTCCCCCTGGTCTGCAAAAGGCTGATAAATAAATCAATTAGTGAGGAACTAATTAACATCAGAGGCGAAGAAATCCCGGTCGGGTAAGAAACCAAATTCTGAGAACTCTGCAATTTGGGACCAACGAGCATTGAACCAATGGATTTTTATGGGTTTTGGACTGGATAATGTTTGGGGAAAATGGAATAAAACTCACCTGTCATGGAATGATTTTTGCTGCACACACATCCCAGCCAGAAATAAAGAAATGCCTCAATTCTCTAACACTAAGAATGCTGTCGGAGGGTTTTTTGTTTTCCTGTAGTTGCGGTGACAGGAGCACAGCCTGGTCAGTTTTCAAACATGGATTTAACCCTTCCAGGGTTAATCCAAGCCATTCCAGGATTTCAGGATCCCATGCTTACTTTTCCTTCTTTCCTCCTTTGCGCCACACAGATCCTCCCCTTTCCCACTGCTTTTCTCCAAAGCCTCTCAATCAATCCCAGCTCCCAGCAGGTCCCACATTCCCAGTTTTACCTCCCCTGATCCATCTCTGCCACGTTTCTCCTCCTGATGCCCCCAGGACTGGGGGAGATTGAGTGTTGTGCCTCAGGGAATCCGATCCCAGTTTCCCCCTGGGAGTCAGGGCTTCCCCATCTCCCTCAAGTTATCGATCTGGATGACGATGGGCCAGATGCTCTTCTCTTGGGAGAACCCCTGGAGCTCAAACTTCTGGCACATGGAGTCCAATATGTACCTGACCGCCCCCAGCACATCCCGGAACACGCCCTGGAGCGACATCCCCGGGGATTTCCGGGGTTCCACGCGCCCTCCAAGCTCCCGGCCGGCACCAGGATCCTCCAGAGGCTTCACTCCCTCCCTCGCCCCTGCAGCCAGGATTAGGGCAGGGGGTGAAGCCCCAGTTCCTGAAACCCCCAGCGGGGCACACGGCGCGTCTGATGCCACCCCCTCGGCGTTCCTGGCACTCTGGAGCTCATGCGGCGTGGCCGCATCCGTCGGAGGACGAACCCTGGGGTTCCTCCCCTGCGCCGCGCCGCGGCAGCCGGAGCAGCCTCTCCTCCAGTAGGGCCGGTAGCCGCGCAGGATCTCCCTGGCTCTCCGGAGCGTCCTGCCGCAGCGGGATCGCCGCCGCGCCAGCCGGCGACGCACGGCCCAGGCGGCACCAGCCCCGTGGCTCCTCCAGGTGCAGCGCTGCCAGCAGTAGTTGTGTTCCTGCAGGGAGCAGAGCTGGGGCACGTAGGCCATTCCCGGCTTGCTCCTAAGGGAGTAGCTGTGGTCCTTCGCCACCGCCGCTCTCAGGTCCTCCACCCTCAGCTCGCAGGTTCCCGGGAGAAGCGTCGCCTCTCCCAAGGTGTGTCCGTGGTTTTGGGTGTTTCTGGGATTCCCCTCCCCAGGGTCATCCCACAGCTGTTCTGAAAGATCCAGGCTCTGCTGTTCCGTCAGGGAATGAAGGAATGTCGCACTCTGGGTTAGCTCTTCTGTGAGTTCAGGTTCATCCTCCACCTCCTCCTTCACAAACCATGCCTGAGTTTGACTCCCGACTCCGCTGTCCACTTCCGACGGGAATTCACTCCTTCCCTCTTGACAGCCAAACTTCTGGAATTCCCTGTCCTGGAGACACCACAGCGTGCTCCATCCTGCTGGGAGAGAGTGGGAAGCAGTTGGATCCTTCCTGGCTGGAGCAGGGCGAGGAACATCCCATCTTCCCAGTCTGGGACTGCCCGGCCTCCACATCCCAACCTCTGCCAGACACCAAGAGAACCAAGCAGTGGGAGAAGCCCTGGGAGTGGCCCTGGGATGGGGCTGGAGCTCCTCAGGAATGGGGCTGGAGCAGGAAGGAGCAGGACTCACCCGGACACGAGGTTTCCAGCTCCTGGTATCCGCTGGCTCCGGGCCACCAGCCAGAGGAAGGCTCCTCCAGGCAGCTCCCAGCGTCTCCTGCAGGGAAAACAGCAGATGTCACCAGCCAGGCCGGGAATCCTGACTCTCCACAGCCACAGGAATGAAGGAAGAACCCTGTTCTTGTCCCCACCAGGAATCCTGATTTCTCCACAGCCACGGGGACAGAGCAGGGAGCCCTGACCCCATCCTGGATGCAGATTCCATCCAGGATCGGGATGTTGCTGCTCACCTGGGGGTGGGCAGATCCACGGCTCTTCCCCGCGCTCCAGCCGGTGCAGGACGTCGGGTTTGGGGCCTGGATAACCTGGGAATGGGACAGAGGGCGTTGGACTGTCCCTGATCACAGGAAAACCAAGGACTGGGACACCCCAGCTGTGCCTCATCGTGCATGGAAACACCTCTGGGATGTGGGAAAAGCGAGGGAGAAACCGGAGCTGCTTCCAGAGAGGGATTTATTCCCGGGAATAAGTGTGGGAAGCAGCTCCCAGTTCCACTGACAGGTTTTCCCAGCAAGGGAACGTCTCTTGCTCATCCAGGGGTGGGACATCCCACCGTGATCCCTGATTTTAGGGATTTCCAGGGGTGCTTAAACCCTGGAATCCTGATCAGCCCCTACAAGGGAAAACTCCTCACGGGAAGGGCTGTCCAGGCCTGGAGGGATCGGAAAGCCGTGTGGACGCGGCACTTGGAGACGTGGATTAGTGGTGGCCTTGGCACCGCTGGGGAACACTTGGATTTGGACATCTCCAAGGCCTTTTCCAACCTCAGCCATTTTGGGATTGTGGGATTTAGCGCTCTGGAAGCCGCTGGGGTGGAATCTGAGGGAATCCCTGCCTGGAGTGATTCCCAGGATTACCCAGAGAGGTCAGGAGCTCGTAGGTGTCCAACACGACGTCCCGGTAGAGCTGCCGCCGCCGCTCCGGGAGCGCATCCCACTCGGCCCGGCTCAGGAACACCATCACATCCTCAAAGGTCACCGGCTCCTGCCGCGGGATCAGGAATCACAGCTTCCCTCAAGGATCACACCCTCCCTCCCAACAGGAGCCTTTCCCAGCCCAACGGAGCTCCCAGGACGCGAGGCCTCGGATGGGACAGTCCCAGGAATGTTGTTTCCCACCGGGGATCTGAGAGAGGACTCCAGCACCAAACACGGATGGGTTTTACCGGGAGCGCTCCGTGGTGGGACTGGGACAGTCCAGGACCCCAGGTCAGCTGGAGCTGGGCATATGGGAGATCCCAACAGCCCCCTGTGACCCCCAGGGCCCATCCCAGGAAATCCCTCGGGAGCGATCCCAGTGGGGATGGGGGAAAAGTGAGGCAGAGAGAGGGAGGGGAGGGATGTGAGGGGGAAATCTGGGGGGATTGGGGGGATGGAATGGGCATTTTTGGGGGCTGATGGGGATTTTGGGAGTGATGGGGATTTT